ACAACTTTATAAGCTGTGATATCAAATAGCTTTTGCGGCTCCAGACTAATTTTATTTGGTTGCCGACCCCTGGCCTAAGACTACGATATATTAACTAACCAGCTACAGAAATTTACCTTTCATGGCTGCCGCCATTTTTTAAAACATCAGCAAACATATCAGAACTCATGAACTCTGAGTTTATTCAGAATACCACAAGAGGGATTTGAAGGCAGCATCAGAGCGGTTTTAGTTTTTGCCTGAGTGATGTTCCTGTTCATCTAACAAATGTCCAATATTCTTAAATTTGCACTGTTGGGTGATAATTCTTAGTTGGTTCATCACTATGAGCAACATTTTTCATTCTATAGGCATATATAGGCAGGGACTTCAGCTGAGTCAACATTTAGCCCTCTGGACAACATGCAATGAACCAAAACCGCAACTTAAGCATCATGGACCCCACCAACCCCCACTGATTAAAAACGAAAAGCCCTTCTTCAGTCATGTTCAGGGCTGCTGAGACATCAAGGGCAGGAAGTAAAGCACTGAATTGGGACATTTTAATGAACTACATGTTCTATTCTAGTCAGATGTAATGCTGCGTTCATGTCACGTCAGAGTCACCGTGATTAACAGTTTCTCACTTGTAAATACGGTTGTAAACATCCAAGTCCAAGAGAGTTTTCTGAAAGGTCTAATCCGTCTAAATTAGCGGCTTTTAGTTGCTAGAGAGAACATTTTAAAAAGCCAAAAGCGATCAACACTGCTGCTGTATCCTCACCATAACACACGGCTTATTCCATACTGATTTCTGTTAATCATGTACCGCTGCACTTACTGATGTATAAATATGTACTAACATTCCCATGTGTTTATGGTTCCGTTTATAGAAGAACAGTGGTTTATAGCAGAGTAAAATGCACAAACTCTGGAGTTTACATTGTATTTTGAGCAGAAAATCAGATTTATTATCAGAGAAGACTTGAATCTGGACTCACATTTAAGATACGTGGTGGTGGTTTTTATTTTATCGGAAAATATTTTTGTCAGAATCTCAATTTACTTTCATATTGTTATATGAAATCCCACCTTTCACATTTCCGCATTAGTACTTCAATTCAAGGTCATCCAATGATTAATTTGACATTTTATTAGTTTTTCAATACGGTTTGGAATTGGCAACTTCTCAAATCCAATTTCGGTGGAGCATACCGACTAATACGGAACAGGTCAGCACTTTTTTGCTGCTCAACTCTTTCTCTTAACCTTACAGGCTTCTTATTAACATACAACCCTGCTATGTCTGAAGCAGTCAGCTAACACGAAGAGCACAGGCTTTTATAAAACACAGCGGAACAGCCCGCCTGTGTATGACTAGGTAACGAGCCCTATTGACGCCCACCACAAATGTATTGGAGAGGCTTTGAGAATGCTTGGATGAATCAGAGCGTTCTTCAGCTCATCCAGGACAAACCTGAGGTACTCGAGCAAAGGCTTTGAGAAAGAAACTGACCTCTAAATGAAAGTCACTAGCACTCAATCCCAGGCACAAGGATAAAAACCTGTGTCTCATCATAGACTCTTATTTACCTTTCAATGCCCAGAACTTGACCAAAACTGCCTTTTATCACTTGAAAAGTATTGCCAGTGTGTCTGTTCCTCTCCCAGGCGAATACGAAGAAATGTGTGCACGGTTTAACACACGTAGACTCGACTATTGTAATTCTCTACTTTCTTGCCTTCCTAAAAAGCCGTAGATCAACTTCAACTCATGCAAAATTCAGTTGCTTGTGTGTTGAGCAGGGCCAGAAGGGGAGCACACATTACACCTGCACTGGATACCTGTTAGAGATTATATTTAGGGCAATGTATGCTGCCTCTTTTGCTCACCACACAGACTGTTTACCTGCATTCAACCAGACTGCTTGAACGCGATTGGTCAACACGAGGCAGACTTAAAACGGAGACCAGATCGCTTACGATGCCAAAATCTGGTCCGTTGTCTACAAATTCTACATGTGAATGCAGAATCTGTTTATAGAGATTATGTACCCACTAAATCCCTCAACTCCTCTGATAGTTGTCTCTTAGTTGTTCCTTGGGTCCGAGGCCACTTTTAGCCACTCTGGCCACTGCTTATCCAACGGCCTGCCTGAGGAGAGCAGAGAGTGTGGATATATCTTAACACACATTTCTAGCCTGGCGGTTTAGTTAATACTTTTATTATACTATACTTTATTTTACTCTTTTAAATGTCTTTATTCATTGAAATGTTTTATTGATTAAATATTTGTTCTTTTTTACTTTTTATGTTCAGAACTTGGGAGTTCATTTGACGTATGACTTGTTCCATATAATTAAGATTGATTGACTGAATGATTGATGATGATTGATTGATTGGTGACTGTAGCTTTGAATTCAGATCACAGTTTGTTTGTCCTTGTAAGAAACCATGTTTGCTTTTTTCTATTTACGTCAGACTGATTTCAAACCATTGTTACACACGTCTCTGATGTTTCTATTCAGTGTTACTCATGCCAAACGGAAGATAAGATGAGATACGGTGAGCATTCTTTCCCCGGCGCTGTCTCTGCCGTAAACTAGTGTGACGTTTGTGGGTGCTAAAACTCCCCTTACAGCAAACGGTTCATAAATTACTTTTCCCCCTCTCCACAGAAGCCCATTCTTTATTCTTGTGAACCAAGTAATAATAGTTGAAGAGGACACGAGAACTTGAGCATGAATGGCGAGCTTCAATGATGTCAAACCCAACGACTGATGTTGGCGAGGTTGAGAAGGCAGAATGTAGAAAAAATAAAATCTTCAAAGGCGTTCGTCATGGCTCTAGTGGTTTCCCATCCTGCAGTAGTTTTATGTACAGTACGAAGGCTTTTTCTGTGTAATGCTTATCCCCTGGACAAAAGTGGTGTTTGACAGAAGAGGAGAAGGAATAAGCAGAATGGGGTGAAAAGAAAATCAAAGGAAGTGTCCATTGATAAAGATAATCTAAAAAAGTAAGAACAGTGACAAATAAGACGCGGAGGTGTGAGAGATGTTGTTCAATTCATGAATAATCCTCGTGAATCTTGTTGAAACAGGAAATATGTTGAGAGTGAACAGGTTAACTCCCCAAAAATGATCCACTTACTCACTGGATCAATTAGTATGATTTTGAAAAGCCTTAAATCTAAATAAGTAGATGTATTACTTCTCCAATAATCAGTTTCTGAGATGTTAAATGTAACGAGGAAACCAACAGTGAGTCCCTTCATTCCTTATTAATCCAAAAGCTTTTGGAGATTCGGCATTTGATGGACAAACAGTTGAAAGAAAAAACAAACCGTAAGAATAACCATTAACATAAATGTAACAAAAACAGAAACAAAGACACAAATAAAACATTCATTTGTAAATTGTAAATCTGGGCAAAAAATATACTGGCCGCATATTTTGCAATAAAAGGTGGTATTCAAATAATGGACAAGGCACATTATATGTATAAGTATAATCCTGTCTAGAATGAACAAATTACAGTTGGTCCTTAATAAACAGCTAAAAACACATTGATGGGGAAAATTGTTGTGCTAAGATGATGCATTTACATTTCTGCAACACTTATTCCATCAGCCAACAAGACCTTTAAGTAACATTGCTGACAATTATTTGTTAATTCCCTGTTAATCACTTCTACTTATATTTTGTATTTATTTTTTTAATTTTTGTAAAGGTACAATCAATAAAAACTTAACACTTCCTAGATATTTTTCTAATTAAAAGGCCACCAGCAAAGGGTTTCTCCCTTTCAGCCTGTGGAGGGATTTGTTAAAGTGTAAAACATCTGTACAGAAAATGTGAATTAGCTGGTAAGTGGAAAAAAAGGGAAACTCAGAGCAGCTGACTGGTGAGTATGACATAACTATAATGTTGTGCTATAATGCTGCGAAATGTAAATTATACTAAATTGATCAAGAAAACTGATTTAAAAAAAAAAAGTGTTGAGCTTGCATTAAGAGCAAACAACAGCAAATCTAAACCGGAGCAGGAAAAAAAGAAAAGAAAAAACGGGGAGGTTTCTTATACGATACGACATACATATAAAAATGGGACCATTTGAAATAGGCTACTATTTGAGAATTTACAGCACTAGATTTGAAGTATTCTCTCCAAAGTAGAGCACATAAAACACAAGTTTGGACAGGAAAGTAAAAGTGCACCACTGTTAGTCCTAAGAACCACACACATACACACAAACACTCTTGAGGAAACACAGGACAGGCACACGGTGTCTCTGCACAAACCCTCAGCCGAAAACTAATTAAATTCGAGTGGAAAGTACGGATGTGTAGGTTCTGTGTGTGCATGTGTGTTCATGTCATGTGTGTGTACATGCACTAACAAACTGTGCCTGAGCATGTGACAAGAAATGATTCACCTTTCAGAAAACGTTATTAAGAGACTGCTGAGCCACTTCAAGTTTAGCACCTCCAGGTCTTTTCTAAAAAGATACAACAGAGATGTGACAGCCTGCTTCTGAATTACTTACTACTTCTTAAACCTCCTCAACCAACTTAGTTTATGGGTGTCATTTTACCTTTCATCGCACTTATGGCTAAGAAAAAAAGAAAAAACGACCCCCGATGGTTCTGTGAAACTACTGAAACTTTGGATATGAAATCCATATTAAGTACTAATATCACTCAGAGTGTGTGCCTAAGAGCAAGCGATGTTCCACGCTCAGCCGCTTGGCACCCGGAGGTTTATAGAAGAAATGTGGAGCTTTAAATCTGCCAAACTACTGCTGCTTTGGCTGTGAAGGGTGAAACAAAGGCAGAGAATTGTACCTGCAGGATGGAAAACAACAGAGGAGACAGACGGGAAGACAGACAGAGAGACAGACACGAGGAAACCAGGATAATGAACTCTCTAGACTTCACCTTCCTGAGAGAGCGACAGAAAGAGGCAAAGACTTGCGACAGCGGTTTTTTGTTTATTTAGGATGGCGGTGGAATGCCACTTACTTCTCGATGAGGTCTAACGTCACCCCTGGCACCAACTTGGCACTCTTCTGCATACAAAACCTGGGGGAGAAAACCAGACAAAGAAAAGCTGCTGATAAGAGTTGGACAGAAAACAAGAGGTGCTCACAGACTATAGCAATAAAAACGTTTGGCCTCTGTAGTACAGATTTTACGACCTACGGGAGACAATCGACAGATAAAACACTCAAATGAAAAATGAGAGTTTTAAAGATTACAACCACTGAGCACATTGATAAGTGTATTTTGGGTGAGTTACAGTCAAAGGGGAGGGGGCGGGCAACAGGAAGCACAGTCATATATTTCTGAAACGTCTGGCATGGGGGTTATTGTTTACTGTGCATGGATAGCTCTGACAGGTCGGGCCAGCTGCAAGTCACAGCAGGTTGCTGCTTGGAGCCTTGACAGCTCGGCACAGGAGCCTGGAGGAGAGAAGGCGTGAGTCTGTGAGTGTGCATGTACGTTGGAGCGTTGGAGATTAACGTTAAAAAAAAAAAAAAAAGATGACGTTACTTTTACTCAGTTGTTGTTTTTCTTCCTCCGAAGGAGGGAATGACGGAAAAAGTTTGAGAACCACCGCTTAACACATGAGTTACCGGGCTGCCTTTAATGTTTGACTTAACTGACTTTTACTGAACGCTTTGTTTCATTCTCCTCGCCTGACGCTGAAAAGTTGAGAATATTTGAACTTTAATAAGCCACTAAAAACCGCCTGAACAATGTGACACGAGAGAGGAAACCAATGGTTTTGCAAGGGAAGCCTTTCTAGCGACTTGTTTCGGTGTGTTCGGCCCCCAAGTCTGTAGCAATTCTAATTGTAGGATTTTGCGGCCTCCAGCAATGAGGTTGCAGATTGCAACCAACCGAATAACCCTCCGCTCACCCCTCCCTTCCCCAGTGTGTCGGAGAACTACAGCGGCCTTCAGGTATTGTAAAAAGGCCCTTGCTAGAGCAGAACGGTGAACAAGAGGACCCGCTCCCTTTGTAGGTATGGATCCCTTGTTTCAGGTGATTATACCTGAAACGAGGGATATATACCCCCTCCCTCTGAAACTCTCTCCCCCAGCACCTCAGACATTCTCCGTCACTCGCCACTTTCAAAACTGCACTTAAAACTCATCTATTTAAATCGGCTTTTAACCTGTAAAGCTAGTTAAGTATGTTTTTGTGTTATTCCTTACTGTTATGTCATCTCTTTTGTTTATATTCTATTTATATATTATTATTATTATTATTATTGTACACTAATATATAACATTGTTGTGAATATTTTATTCCATTTCCGAGGTCTGAAGTTTCAGGTGCCACGGTGCCCAAAGATTACAGCTGTTGCAGTAATGTTGGCTGGCAGGTTTTAAGTTACAAGGTTTTAAGTCACGATTATGAGATCTGAAATGGTTCTGACTGTAGGAAGCACAAAATATGACCTGACTGAATTTAGTGATCAGTGGATTTAATTAAATTAGTTGAAATTTGACAATGCTAAAATAAAATTGCACAAAACTAATCTCGTCTGTTGACACTTGTCCCAAAGCTTTCACATTCAGCTCGTCATGTATAAAGTATCATGAGGTTATGGAGTATAAGTGATTCAGTTTTCTCCACCAACAAGTGAAGCCACCGTTAGCCGTTAGACGTCCTGCATGGATTTGTATCCAACAACTATTCCACCCTAACAGTGATGTAATCTACGGCACTCACATTGAAAGGTTGTTCCTGATGCTGGAGAATAATGAGATCCCACATGACACCAGAGAGACTTACTGTCTCTTATAAGAACAGCATGGGCCCCGAGTGTGCAAGGCACTCTAGGAACAAAGAGCAGGATGGATGGAACCAGGACAAATTGTTCTAAAGTCTTAATCATCAGAAACTTTTTAATGAAAGCCATAATGCACAAAATCTGCATTGATATGTGCCAGCACTTTACCGTTTGGTGGGAACAAAGGTATTTTATCTTTTATCAAATACAAAACAATCCAAGACTGTTTACTTTTGAATTTCATTTGAACAACCGATGAAATATTTTGTTTATGTTTTTGTCTTTGCTTGCTGCAAAAGGAATTCGGGGAATTCTCCAACATAAAAAGAGACGATTAACTCAACATGGAGTCTGGCAGAAACAGACGAGCCGAAGTAAACAGAGCACAGACAAAGCACGAGGTTGCATCAGCGAGAGCGTGTTTCCACCCAACCTCTGTGCAAGGAGACGTAAAGTCGCTCAGGGGTTGAACATAGAATGATAAGAAAGAGAAGAGGAGAAGAGGGGAGTGTTTGGTCACATCCAATCTATGAACCCATCGGCTATCTGAGCCAAGTCTTCCTCTTCCATGTGCCGGTCATTGTTCACAGTCCGATTAGCAACTTGAGATCCAAGAATGGATACGGAGTTGAGAGACGAGTTCGACAACCGGTCTGTTTGACAAGTAGCCATTTTACTATAGAGCTCATAAAAAACGAAATTGCAAAACTGCATTTCGGCCAATGCGTTGCGGCCCTTGTGCTCTCCATGTGGACTGTTCAACCGTGATCGGTCGATACTACTCGGGCTACAAAACAGGAACCAGAAGTTGTCCGATACCAAAACATACAGCAAGTGAATATGTTTACTGCTTAGCAATGAGACTAAAGTACCGCAAGTAAATAACGTGACAAATGTGTTGTCCAGTATGTGATACTGCTGTAAGAATATGCTAATGATGTATACAATTGGTATCAATCCATGGTATGCAGCTAGAAGCTAAAATTCATCCCTGTGACGGACTCAAGAGGGCGATGCAGATGTGTGCATGTATAACTTCACAGACCGCAGTGCATTCCAACAGGATATAAATGCTGAGGCTGAATGGTTTGAGTGGTGAGGTCGGTTGAGAGAGCTTTTATGGAGGCTTGTGCAGTATCTTTGTTAGATCTTTCCTCATTCTGGTCTCACCTAAAACTCACTAGCCTTTGTCAAATACCTCCTGAATGCACTTCGGCCTAATAAGGCTTTCAATCTAGTATTTGCTAATTAGAGCTGCATTTATACTATCCAAAGGAAAAATTTGTCACTTCAGGGGTACTGTAAATTCTAACAACCCAAAGGACGACACTGTCAAACAAACAATAGCTCTTTTCAGAAATGAGTCAAGCTTGGAAAATATTTCGAAAAAGCATCAGACTGCCAGTAGTTATAGGGGACAGCCAGCTTTTTATCATTCCTGTGCCATTTCAGTTTTATTTATTCTGTAACTCACGTCATAAATGGTCATATCGTAAAATGTGCCACAGCAGCGTTTCAAGAATACAGCATGAAATGTCACTTTGGCCAATAAGAAAGTTGGAAAGGAGGCAGTGACATACAGGATTACTGGGCTCCAAAAATCCGATGTTTCTTGCATAAACAACAGAATACCAAATTATAACAGAGCAGTGTGGTGTTTGTAGAGGTGTGCGGTTACTTTGTAGCAGCCTGATCTAATGAAGGTAAACATGGTGGACGGTCGTGCGTAATAACACTGCGCTCTGGTGCGTCACTTCTTAAATTGGTAGCTGCAGACTTATCAACATATGTGTCCTGCTGCCATCAGATGCCTGCAGGGATTTAATGAACTGAAGGACAAGCTTTTTACACGGTATAAAGCAGATGTGGACAACAGATACTGTAAGAATCCTTCATATATACAGTAAATACATGCATTTCTGCTTTAACCACAATAATCTATTTTAATGCCAATTTAAATGTATCTACTGCTGGGGAGTGTGAAACAATTTTGATATGCGTTTTGTATTTTGTTTGCTCATGTTGATAAAGTGATTTGTGTCCAAAACAGATGTGGTTCTGAGAAGTTTGTTCTCACAATAGTCAATTTTCAATAAAATACCAAAACTCTATCTTTGTGGTACCTCATTTGAATAAACCTCCCTGCTGTTGTGACTCTAAAGACATTTGCACTGAGCAATAAAATACCACACAGAGAGGCGAAGCACATTTTAACATCCGCAAAATACCAAACAGCACTGATCGTCACAGCCCAACAAAAATAGGGCCCTAGGTCTGGAATGGCAGCTAAAACCAGTTTGTTTGTGTTGTGAAACAGGTTTTACACGTCTGTCCTAAAGGGCTGAATTGCAGAAGTATCCTCAAATCTGCCTGGTAGTAAAGGTTTCCTGGTTTCCTAGTTTCCTTCTCAATCATTTTAATATTTTTAGTAGAACTAAATAAAAGTCAAGGGAACATCAAAGTAACGGGTTCATCCTCTGGAGACCATGGTTTGCGCCGATCCATCTCGTAAAAGTTGAAATATTTCACCAGACAGCTGAAAACGTCTGGTAATGCTATAGAGGAATAGTTGTCAAGATATTTTACTCCAAACCAAACACGTCAACCTGCAGGTGCCTCTACCTGAAAAGGCAAGGGATAGTTCTTGATGACCTTTCAGGCCGGAACAAAGTGGTGAAACAACCGGCTGACCAATTGATATTGCTATCCCTAGAAACAAGTCTGCTTGTGTGGCTACAAATTATCAGCACAAAAATGTAAATTTGAACAGGCTATATGTTTATAGAAGAAAATATAGTAATCCTTTCGTATTTGACTAAGGGAAGAAAATACCTGCAAGTCATATAGTCAATGGATGGTAGAGGTGAGACATACAACTTTCCAAGTGGATCGTCTCACCTTTAACTGTTTTGACAATAATAAGGGTTCTCCGAATGATCAGCCAGTGATTGTTATCGTCCAATATCTGTCTTAAATAGTTTGATCGTTGGTCTCTATAAAGGCCGATCAGATGACGCAAAACTTGCGCGATCATTTATCTACGTGCTACTAAAATGGATTTACCACGCAAGTGTACCACACGTGGTTTTTATTCACACTTCTCACGCAACACGTACACTCTCATTTTGATCTATGCATGTGTCTGCACAGGCTCTGTACATGCTCGCGTCTCAAGCACATCGAGGAGCTGCAGTTTTTTTTCATGGACAAACTGCAATATACACTGTACATTTACTGACACTTGACAAATTTACTGGTAGTTTCTCTTCTGCTCCAATCGTTATCGGCTAATACTGCTTCCAGAGATCGGTGATGGGTCCCAAAAATATTGATCGGAGCACCTTCTGAGTAATAAATCGTAAGTTAGCTTTTTTTGTTGAGGAAACTAGTCAAACGTTGGGATGCACCAATGACTATGGATGACACACTGACAGAAGTACATGAGGGCTGGAGTTCAGAGATGAAGAGGAAATTGAAGGATTATTACGACAGCAAGGTGGCCAAACTTGAATTGGATCGGTAAGTAGGAGAAAGCTAGTGTGTGCAGAGAGGAGAAGGTAAAGTGCCATGAACATACTAAACTTTGATGAGGGAAATTAAGTGGATCTTTTGTGGAGAAACTACACTGCTCCCTTGGTGTTTGGAGGAGGAGGAACCGGCGGAGCAGAGTTTCCCCTCTGGTCCCTGAGGAGCCAGCTGTCTTCCACGGCTCATTACTCCTTCAATCAGCCTTCTGTCCCAAGTCACCTTCTCTATCAGTCATGTACAGGAGGGACTGCTGGGCGATCTCAAAGTGAATCTGCTCTGTCACTGACCTACAATAATCACATCACATATCACACTCAGTATGTTCCATGAAATCATCTAAAATATAAATACGACAGTGTTCTTCCCCTTTGAGAGAGAGAAAGAGTCTTGACTCCTCCAGAACCTGAATTGCATCCATGGTGAGGAACGGCCGTATCCTCCTGATGTTGTAGACAACGAATCTTCAGAGGTTCCTCACAGCCCGAGCTGTGAATACCACTGCCTTCTCCCTCATTATGTGATTATGCTCGCTTAAATTGACCAACATTAACCTGAACATTAACCTTAATGTTGTTGTTGATTTGTTTGCTCTAACCAAACATTAACAAGCTGCATATTCGGGCCAGTTGACACAAGTGCTTTGGTAGCCGTTATTAGCTGTTCTGTGGGTCAAATTGTACTTCTAACTTGTACAGCTGTGTAAAAAAATTATAATCAAATAAATAAAAACAATAATAAACTTCCAAATGGAATACATAATAGAAATAAATAACATTAATAAAACTATAACTAAACAAATGAAAATATTAGCAATATAGGAAAATGATGTTGCCATACTTCCTGCCTACAATGCTCCAAGTGGTAAAGTCCGTTTTGTAGTAGCATGTATAATGACTATGAGAACAAAAGAATATTTGCATTTCAACTGCTTCTTACCACATTGCTTATTGTTACATAAGGTCATAATAAGCAGCTCATTAAGCGGCAGCAGGCTGCTAAGCTTTGGTACAAAGGCTCTTCTTTCAAAGCAACATTTCCAATGATAATACATTATGATGAATGTGCTCTGTTTGATCATGAATAAGACAAATGAGAAGGTGCTGGCCGATCAGCATAGATGCATGCTTCATTACGGCTATCACTTTAAATTTGCATCAAAGTGCACTGCTAGTGGTACACTGGACACATTAGGCTAATTAAAATATACTTCCTTACAGCACAATTCAGTTTAAAGAAATATCCAGCCTAAATAATTCACACTTTAATTTGTGAATTTGATCAAGTTTCTCTTTCAACTGAACAGCATGGAGAAGGACTGCAGTGATGATGTCACCGACAGAGAAAGATCCTGGAGCGGCTCCGACAGTGAATCATGGAACAACTGTTGAGAAGAGCGGTTTACAGCTGCCGCTGTGATTTCACCGGTTTAGGAGCAGAATGTCTGAACTCACAGCTGTAAGCCTGACATTCAATTAAAGTTCATTTGGATAAACGGTAATCAGCAGGTGTCACCTACTGAAATGACATCATTAGGTAGATTGTGTATGTCTGTAGAGACTGATATAATGAGGTAGACAATGGATTTCATTTATTTAAATATCTATTCATTTATATATACACACGGGTGACAAATCAAAGGAAAAAACCTTAATAAATATAATAAACATGTCCCACTTAATAGTTTGATTAAAATTATGTGAAATATAGGTCATGGCCTTCCCCGTCTCCAGACCTCCACCCAGTTTAAAATCTATGGAAGATTTCTGAGCAACATGTTGGACTGTGCTCTCAGCCATAATCATCAAAACACCACATGACGGAATATTTCTTTGAAAGTATGGTTTTCATTCTTCCAGTAAGGTTCAGAGAATCTATGTGAAAGAGCACTGGAGCTGTTTTGGAGGATTGTGTGCTCCAAACCATTGTTGGTTTCTCCATGTGTACGTCATCCATCGGTTTTCAACTCGGTACAAAAAGATGAACCACTAGTTGCTGGTGCGTCGCCTCTTTTCTATTTGTATCATTCTAAGGTGCATCATGGATGATTCACAATTTCTAATTCTGTTATATCACATGGACATCAGCTGGAATATCTTTTTTTACATTTAAAATGTTTTTACATGGGAAAAATGGACAGCTTATAAAACATAACTATAAGCCATAACAATCCATAACCGAGTATATCTTGATTTGAATGGATTTTGACCACTGCACTATATTTCATGGCACTACATACAATAGTTTATGATATTTCTCTCTGGACAGAACAACTGCACCAGACTGACTGACCCTGCTGACTCTAGAGGGCCTCTCCTAGCATGGCTAAAGTACGCACCCCGCACTTTTCTTTCTTCATCCATAGTTTATTTTTCTTCCTTCCCCTGCAAACCCCTGATGTCTCTCTATTTTCAGATGCTCACCTCCTCCATTCCCTCCCATCCATAGCAGCGGCGGGGAAATCCCTTGAAGATGGCGCTCCATCAGTAATGATTTTCTGCTCAGCTGAGCAATGAAAGGTACTCACTCTGCCTTGCTTACTCTGCCTCTCTCTCTCTCTCTCTCTCTCTCTCTCTCTCTCTCTCTCTCTCT